ATCCAAAGACCTTGGGGAGGTGGATGATAAAAAGTATCTACTAATGCCAGTTCTGAGACAAGTAAAGGAGAAGTCTAAAGAAACTAGCTAGTACTGTAGGGAGGAGTCCAAAATGCTTCCTTCTCCTTTTCTCCAATAGAACAATGGCCTGTTTGAGTACCTGCTCCTGTGGCCCCGTACCACTTGCAGTGAAAACAACTGTCCCCAACTCTGGGATCAGTCTCAACCTAGGCAAGGAAACTGTCAGGTACTCTAAGGTAGATGATAACTGGTGTAACACCAAATGAGTCTTATTCTGGGGCTGGGCACAAAATATCTGTGGTTGTACCATCTCAGCCCAGTTCAAGTTCATTTTGTGTCAACTTCTAGACCAGCGGTTTTCAACCACTGTGCAGCAAGAGGCACACTGTTGTACAGCAAGACTTTTTTTAAAACATGCAATACCTGAGTATTTAGTCAGGGGCGCTGACCTTTTTTCCCTTAAATTGTCAAATAAAACATGACAACATCAAACACAATAGCTATCTGGTGTGAATGAATCAAAATTATACTTTTTTGTCAGATTGGCAAAAAAACATATTTTTGGGTGTGCTGCAGAAATTTAGTAATTAGTTTATGTGTGCCATGAGATGACAAGTGTTCAAAATCACTGTTCTATTTTTATAGATCCTTTAGGTCCTCAGTTCTGTTACAACTTAGCTAACTAAGGGTACTCACACATCTTTTGGATTTTGCCCACCTGGGCTGATTTTAAGTCTGCCTTATGACTTTATATCCCCAAAGATAACAGGATTTTGCCTCACCATTTTTGTCCTTGGTGTTCACGCAGCTACTATGCCTGTCTTCTCATTCCTGGTCTTCCCTAGTCCAAACTGACCCTCTATGAGGAAGAAATGTAGAGCTGGAAGTAACCTTGGAATTGTTTTACAAATTTTAGTCATTAATATATCACCTTTACAGTTTTGTTTTGTTTTTTTTTTTTTTTGCTACAGTTGGGTCATCTGAACTATCATTTACCTAATATTTTTCTTCACATTGACTAAGGTTTTAAACCTAGATACCTACTTTAGCTTCATTCTTAAGAATGGTAGCTGTAAAATCATAGAATTGATGGGATAGTTATCTTTTTTCTAATACATACTTAATATAAGTTCAAGACCAATTAATTTAAGAAGAAGTTTTGCTATGTACTACCTAAAATCATCTCATGTACAAAGAGCACATTTTGGAAAATAGTATCTGGTATAACTCTGCACTTTACAGATTAAGAAACAGTTTCAGAGAGGTTTGGTTTGTCACAAGGTTAGTTAGGTGAATTCTTGGGATTTAAACCTATCTCCTAGCTCCTGGTCTAGTGCCTTTTTCATTATGCCTAGGGTTAATATAGGGCACTATTAGTGACATATATGAAATAATTAAATCATAACACATAACATGCCTGGCAATGCAGTATAAAAAATCCTGATCCAAGACTTTACCATGAAAGAAAGAGGTTGCTTGACTGACAAATTGTATAAATTTGGGTTACCTCTAATACCTGCATAAAGAAAAATTACCACCTTAGAGGGAGTCCTGAAAGTGCAAACAACAATTAGTTATGAAACCACCCATAACAAGAAATGATATCATCAAATGATACAGAATTTGTAAGAGACTTACTTGCTCTGTTGGGATGTCCACTTCTGACCTAACCAGAAGAGCATCTCTGGCCTGTGTTCCTGATGGAGTCTTTTGTTTCTTCCAGGAATTTCAACAATTTAAAACTTTCTGCAGCTCGTTGTCCACTTTGAAATGCACATCCTGACATGTGAAACCCTTTGTTAAAATATTCATGGCCTATTCAAGTCTTCTCACTTTTGGATTGCTGCCAGGGTAGGTCCATGTAAAAATACATAGAAGTCTTGGCCAGATCCACAGAGCTGAGTAGCAAAGGGACATGGGACTCTGGTGCAGGCGATTCCAGGAAGCTTAGGTAAACAGTGTTACTGGTTTTTGACTTTGCATTTGTAGAAAGAGGTAGTGATTCTGTGCTGCTGTTACATGAAGACTCAGGTTAGAATTCATTCCCCTGTATATATGTCCTTAATTTTCATCCAGCTGGCTCATCTTGAAAGGCCACATGGTTCCTCTTGAAAAGAAACATCTTCTTAGATCCAATTACCATTTTTTGACCATATAAATGCCTTCTAAATAGTTTTGGTTTGGGGGTGTGTGTGTGTGTGTGTGTGTGTGTGTGTGTGTGTGTCTTTGGTGGAGAGTTTGGGGCATTTTTAATTTGTTTTAAAAAATCTGGAAATGATGGTAGGGATAATCTATCTCGTTAGAGATTAGAAAAAGTTCCTGTTTCTGTTGGCCATATGCAATGAGATATTAGAATACAGGACTTATGGCAACACAAGGCTGTGTTTAAATGAACAGAAGGTCATTAGAGACAGAGAACAGGTGGCAACTCAAAGCATGGTGACGAGTTAATGTATTCATTACCCAGAATAATATGACACTATACATTACATTTTTTTCTCAGGGAACAGGCTTTGCTTGTTCTTGTAGTAGGTATCCTCCCGAGGTTTCATGATTTTGAGTTCTGTCTTAGGCATTCAGTTTACCATTCTTTTCCCTACCCTTGTTGTAGTGATTCTCTCTTGCAGTTCCATCACTCCACAGGCTTACATATCTGTAACATCTGGGTCTCAGAGTTGAAACCAGAGCTCACCTGAAGGATTGTCAGTAGAATCAGGGAGGTCTAGTTAGAATTCTAGAAAGGGAAAAGTTTTTATAGGTCATTTGGTATTCTTAGGCCAACTGAGACAGCCATTGATGTGCTTGGCTCAGATCTCCCTTTAATACAAAACCTGTCTTCAGGAGTTGAGTTAGATGACAGTCTCCAGCTTCAAGTGCTCTTAGGCTCTGCCTCAGCTTTCAAATGGGAGGTATGTGCTTCTTGGGCAGCTGCCAGCCCATGGCTGAGCAAAGTGGGGGGTGGGTCAAATGGCTTGCCATTTGGGGGCAGCATGGAGTTCCCCTATGTTCAGTCTTTTCACAGGAGCTCCCAGTTGTGCTTGCCATGACTGCCTACCATCCCCTTTCCTTCGCTGATATCAGACTTGTATTGTGGTTGAAGCTCTCCCTGTCAACTTGTGTTTCTCTCCTTTTTATTTTTCACAGGTATTACTCTTAATAAATGTCTTACATTTCTAATTATAACTCAGCATCTGTTTGCAAAGGACCCAAACAATACATCAGTAACTCCCCAAACTTACCAAAGATACCGTAGCCAGCTAGTAGCAAAGTCAGTATAACAACCCAGACTTTCTGACTCCCAGTTCAATGTTTTCCCTAACTTCAGTGGTCCAAGTACCACCACAGTCATGTATACAACAAAACAGATTTTGTTATCTGTTTGTCCACTGTGCCATTATTTATGTGACATATTTGACACATTAAAAAACTATTGCACTTGTTAATAAATCTTTACTTTAGCCCTGCATGAAGTAATAATATTAATAAAATATGGATTTTCGTGTACTAGTTTTATATTTTCCTAATACATATTAAATAAATATAATACCATTATAATAAAAAAAATCTTTGTGTGTGCACTACCTAAAGTTGTATCATTTACTGTCAGTGATAGGTGAACCCTAGGACTTAGAAGGCAGAGTAGAAGGAAAAGGTAGAGGGAGGGAGGAAGGAAGAAAGGAAGAAAGGAAGAAAGGAAAGGGAAATATTTATTGGTGAGAAAGAAATGGTAAAAACTTATCAAGAAATGCCTCAGGTGTCTTGCTGTGACCTCAGTGTTTCCTGACAAGCTCTGGTTTAATCTCTAATGAGTCAACAAACATCCTTTACTTATCGGTTGCCTAAAAACAGATAGAATGTATTCAGATGTAAATTAAGAATCAAGATCTCTCCTCCTAAAAGAGTCAATTCATTTATCCCCAAATTGGGCTGAAATGGTCCACTTCGAGCAATTTATCAGAGGAGATGCACACTACATTTCAAAGCAGTAGCTCTAATCTTCATCTTATAAAGTATTTGAGTATATACACTTCCTAGGAAAAAAGGTTTAGATAACATTTTCTTTCTCATTTTAAAATACTCATTATTAAACAAAATATGATTTTTCTTGATTTAAGAAATCTAAGGATACAATTATAATAATCTTTCAGTTTTGTTGCCATTCTTTTGTTTTAAGAGCTCTGTAATGATTATGATTCTATTGTGCTAATGAAACAAAATTGTGGTAAGAAATTATGTTATATAATAATTTAATAGATTCCTGGTATCATAGTGATAATTTAACATTCCTCTTTTGTTTCATGGAGATGGTGGTATTACTCAGCAGCTCTGTCAAACAGATATTACTGATTTAGAAGCCATTTTGTTCATTCCTAAACCAATTGTTCTTTTACAGAATGAAGAGCTATAAACTAACCTAAAGGAAACACTAGCTTCTGGAATGTGACAAATTCCAAAGGCATGGGAAGTTTGAAGGTAAAAATTCAAGTTGTGTTTTATTATAAGTAGAAAGGTGGCTATGCACTTAATATTCCATGCTTAAACCTATTTCTGGCATCTGATTTGAAAAGATTTGGTAGTGGTCTACTTCGGGAAAGACAAATCCGGTACTAATGTTCATGTACACTTGGATTAATTGGGGAAAGAGTCAGTTTCCTTTGTCTTCATTGCTTGTTTTACATTTCGAACCTGAGTAAAATGGTTTACATTTCAAATCCAAATCTAATCTAAGAATAATCAGTGAAGAATAATATCAAATTAATATTTTTAAATGAGAAAATATCAGCTTCACAGTTAAAACAGAAACAACACAATTGAAAACACGGCTGTTATATTCAGGTTTTGGTATTTACTGACTCATTTCTCCAAACATCTAGAGAACAAATTAAGTACTTCATGTATTTCTTTTATGGATGATTACAGACGGCACAAAGTAAATAGAATATATTGCCCTGGGAAACTTAAACTCTGCTTGTTCTTACCAAGTTAGCAAGCATATAGTGATAACCTCTTGAATGTTTCCCCAGGATCACAACCTGCAGAAATAATAAGAAATATTGGTTATTCAAGAAGGACATTTTCAATTGCACAATCAATGGGATGGCTAGAACAAATTACTTCTAAATGATCGAAAAAGTGTTAGGTCTCTATACAGTAAAATCACAGTTAATTAGACCAGATTTCACTTTCAGGCAGAGAGTACAGGGAGAATTGCTAATGTCAAAGTTAAAAATGTCAACAACAAGGGAAAAAAGCTCTCTAAATTTCCAGGTCAGTGGCATCGTTGTCACTTAAAATAGATGGCAAAGCAATGAAGCTGATGATCTCCCACCCATGAACTGGATTTCTGTACTTAGCTGTTGAGATGGCAAATGGGCTGAACTTTGCATACAAATTAGAAAATAGAATGTACGGTGCATTTTTTTTTCTTATCTGGAATGCTTAGGGAATAGAACAGTCAAAGAATGGGGTTAATGGGATTTTCAGGTTAATCGAGGTTGCTTTTACTTATTGAAAACTTCTCTAAAATGCTTGCCTTCTTTTTTCCTGCCTTAATATAAAAAACTTGTGACCATCTGTAGATCTTTGGGGGATGAATGTGATGCCCTAGGACAGTGGGGAAGGGGATTTTCCTTTAGGGGACATTTCGCAATGCCTAGAGGCATTTTTGGTTGTCACATCTGGGAGGGGTGACTGGCATCTAGTGGGGAGAGGCAAGGGGTGTTTGTGAGCATCCTACAATGCACAAGACAGCCCCACCCACAACAAAGAATTATCCAGTGAAAAATGTTAGCAGGGTTGAGGTTGAGAAACTCTGTCTTAGGGCCATCATTGTTATCATAATTTTTATGACTAACACTGTACTAATAAGGGCCTTACAATTTAAAAAGTGCTTTTTACCAGCTCACAATATGTAAGCAGATTGAATATTTTCTAAATAAATGTATTGGTTGACAGTTGGAAGTTCTGGCTAAATACCTGGCATAAGCTTATTTCCAGATAGTTGAGTAATGCAAAAATTCTGGTTAATTGAGGATTTTATAAAATGTCACTTTATTGAATATTGACTATGTGTAAAATACTATGTTGAAAGCAGGGAGCGGGAATGAGGAGGGGGATAACATAGTGGTTAAAGACACAAACAGAGGCAGAACCAGGTTTTGTACAGGCCTGATGCTAATACCACTTTAGGAGTCCTCTTTAAGAAAAATAATACAAAATGACAAATACAGTAATTTCAACAAGGCTTGAGAAAGAACCCATGCAAGTAAGAGACCGTTAAGCTTAAGCTTCATGATAAGGTCCATTCTCGACACAGCTGTCAAAAGGTTTAAAAACAATTTGTGGCCCTGGCTGGAGTGGTTCAGTAGATTGAGCGTCGGCCTGCAAATGAAAGTGTTGCCAGATTGATTCCCAGTCAGGGCACAGGCCTGGGTTTTGAGTCAGGTCCCCAGTAGGGGGCATGCGAGAGGCAACCACACATTGGTGTCTCTCTCCCTCTTTCTCCTTCCTTTCCCCCTCTCTAAAAATAAATAAAATCTTAATAAAAAAAACAACTTGTAAAGATAATAAAATTGCATACACACCAAACCAGAACTATATATAAAAGACCATTATAATAATAATAAAAACAACTACCCTTAATTGAGTGCCTAATATATGTTAGGCACTGTGTTTGGTGCTTTATGTGTATTTAATCCCTAGAATAATTTAACAGATTAAGTATCATTGGTTTCATTTTACAGATGAGGAATCTCAGCTAAACAGAGTTTAAGTGATTTGCCCAAGGCCACACAGCTAGGAAGTAGAAAAGCTGGAATTAGAACCTAGGTCTGTCTGCCTCTATAACCCTATTCCTGGCAGTACATTACATGCTTTTTTATGATGTACTGAATGTCAAATACCAATAACTGTTCTAGGTTCTGGGAAAAGAGGAAAAAGAAGTGTCTCAGGCCCTGCTGGGATGGATAAAGAAGGCTTTTCCTGGAGGAGATGAGGTTTAAGATGGCCCAGAGGTGGAAACATGTATTCAAATATCATGCTGACATTGGAAGACCAAGCCATTTCAAGGGTGGGGGGTGGGCGGGCAGAGAGAGAGAGAGAGAGAGAGAGAGAGAGAGAGAGAGAGAGACGAATGAAAGCACTGTTTTCGATTAATTTAAAATATGAACCACATTTCTGACTGATTATTTATAGAAGAAATAAAAGGTTAATGAATGTCTTGAGGAGGTGATTTTTAATGCTGCCATGACACAAAATGAGCTGTTAGATATCTGCTGGGATGTATTCTTCAGTGTTTGCTTGTGAGACACATCCTTACTGGTGACATTTGTTAACTTTTCATGGCAAGCTGAGACCATAGATTTGTTGAATTTTTAATTCACTGACAACCCACAACATAATAAAATCAGAGGGTTTTGAGTTTTGCCAGAATATTGAGCAAGATTCCTAAAGACATTTGGCAGAGCCTAGAGAGAAATAAAGAAGCAAGCCCAAAGGAAACAGTCTTTCTTACCATGGCCAGGACTTAGTGTCTTTGTGAACATGGGAAAGGTGAGAAAAAACTATGGAAAACATTAGTGTTGTGAGAAGAGCTCTGAATGACAACTCAGGAGCCCAACCTTGTCATGTACTTATTGTATGACTGTTGGCAAACAATCCTTATCTGTAGTCCCGAGCAATGAGCTTGACCCTTCCTATCTCAGCAATGTCGTCTAGATCAAACTGAATAACATCCAGAAAGGTGTTTTGGATGTGCATTGTGCAATTATGTGATGTCAAATAACTTTGGGAAGGGGTCATTCACTAAGATTTTTTTTAGGTTCAGAAAAGGCTTAAAGCTATTGGAATATCCACTTTAGTCCACGCCAGGTGGTCTGTTCAGAACAAACACACCTATTTGAAGGTAGGTCTCTCACAACATCATCCTTTCAAAACTTAGCTTAAACTGAAAGAGATGGGAATGTTATCTAACGATAGAAATTTTTAGGTATCACAAGGCTGCCACCTTGAAGGCCATAATTATTTCCTCATCCTTACTTTCAGTGACTTCTTAACTCTTAACACACAGTTCTTACCAATCTTGGTTTCTCAGTTCACAGTAAATTAAAAGCAGCAAATTAGAAGGGCTGTACAGGAGGGAGGAGATGATATTAGAAAGAGGTACATTAGCAGCAGCAGAAGTGACAGACTGACTTAAAGGAGAAGGAAGAGATTTTTTTTTTTTAAGCCGACAGGTTTGTTGTGAATGCCTGAATCGTTATGGTATGATTTACTGCTTTCAGTAATTCCTGCTTGAAAAAAACAGCGATATGTATCATACATGTTAGGGAAGTTTTCTATCAGAAATGCTGAAAGTCTCAATACTTAAGAGAGTATCCTTCACTTATCTTGAAATCTTACGTGGGGCAGAGCCATGATCCTATTGATATGAACTGAGTGAAACCTCACTGCAAAAAGTGTCATTTTGCTCATGGTTTTGCCCTTTTTTGTATTTTTGGTGCAGAGGTTGTTGGAGTAAGAATGGGATAGGTGGGCTGTGCATTTTATGGTACACAGAAGAACGAGTTAGTGGGAGTGGTTTTTTAGTTAGTCCTAAATCTTTATTTTTTTTCCATCTGTTATACATGAACAAGGCATATATTGTACCTTCAGTTATTTATTGACTCTGTTAACCAAAAGAATATTTAGCTTTGCTTTTAAAATAATTATAATAGCTCTTTCTGAATTAGTTTCAGAACTTCAAGTATAAAAGCTGTTTAACAGTCTACTCTGAAATTTAAGAAGGAAATATGAAGTTTCCAAATATATGCACTGTATTTACTGTGCCTTCATAAGATTTGTTGGAGATGATGGATGGCTTGATAGAATGGCACATGTGATAAGTGTAATAAGGGGAAATGGGTGAAATATAGATAAAATTAATGTTTAAGAAAATTTATTTTTACCCCTACAAATCAGACCTGAAAGGAAAAAATGCTACAATCCTCATTCACTGAAACCTAAGCTACAGTTTCCTTTGCAGAAGAAAAAGTTATTACATACTAACACACTGAGTTGTGCATATAAGAGAGCATTAAATTATTTCTTAAAGAAGTCAGTGAGTCATAGTAAACCCATTTTGAGACTTCCCCTTATTGACTCCCCCATCGACTTATCCATGAAATTGGGGCCTGGGTAACACTAAAGAGTTAAAAATAATTCAGAATCTGTTAATTTGGTTTTTTATGTGAGAGGCCTTTTCATTTTCAATTTAATGCTTAATCTTGACATTTTCATAATTTTATAAAATTTGAAGTTAAATTACTCCACAAGACTATGTGAGAGAGGCCTACAGACCCCTCGGGAGCAAAAACATTTCTTTGGGGGTTGCACAACAATGTGAATGTATTTAATCACTTTACACTTAAAAATGGTTAAGATGGTTATGTTATGTGTATTTTACCACAATAAAAAATATTGGGAAAATGTCTCAAAGAAGACAAAACATGGAAAAATGATCTATTTTTCCAAGCTCACATTAAAAAAAAAATGTTTGTTGAAGTGTCTGTGTTTTCCCCCCTCTGATCCAGCTGGTATGCAGATTAGGTTATTTACAGACCAAAGTGTCTCCAGGTTTGAATTTTCTATGTTAGTACCGAAAAGGTATCTATGTATAAAGATTGCTCTGCCTTTGAGTACAAAACATACCTTGTTGTTTACCTTAATCTCTTTCTGTTTGGTTCAGGGACCTGAGGATGTTTGGGGGGCTGGGGAGAGAAATGGGGGAGGTTTTGGTTTTCATTCACTGGATTTACCTATTGTATAGGTATTTTCTCTTTAAGAAAAAGCTATTAACTCATATTCCTTGTGCTCAAAGAGAAGACATTTTTAAGCCTCTCCCTTGTCTGCTTCCTTAGTTTAAAAAAGTTGCCGTATGCCAACCTATCTAATTTCAGCTGTTGGAAGTTAAATTGTGATATGCTACAGAAATCAGCCTTAGAATACGTCATATTTCCCAGAAGAAATCTCCCATCAGACATGATAAAAGCTGTTC